TACTTCTACTACAACAGCAACAACAACAACCAACAATTCATCCAGCAACAACTTGTTTTTTAGCACAATCTGACACCAACACGTCCATCATATGATGATGTTCATTTCATTAACATCCTACCCACACAATCCATATCACTCGAATACACATGTGTAGTATGCAGTACACATTATCTATATATATATATATATATATATATATATATATATATATAATCACAAACACATACGTACTTTGTAAAAACCACGTACACACACACACCACACACACACCACACACACACACAGATATAATACTATTATTTATTCATAAATACACATTTTCTCACAAACACACATACACATAAAGAGAGAGAGAGAGAGAGAGAGAGTGAGAAAGAGAAAAAGAGAGAGAGAGAGAGAAAGAGAGAAAGCCGGCATATAATCTCTCTTGTGTGGGCTCATTAGGATGGACGGACATTGAATAGTAATGTACCCACCTCAACGCGCTGCATCTATCTTACAGGGCATCTCTCAAACATTTCATTGCACATTGTACCACAATTCTAAATCTGCTACTAAAAATTAATATCTCATAAGACAAATCAGTTTGCAAAAAAATTACTTTAATGACATAGGCACACACAACTCACACACACACCACACACACACCACACACACACACACACACGGGCACACACAACTCACACACACGCCACACACGTACATATTAACGCATACAAGCACACTCATTTATCATAAACAGAAACAGTCTGATTTTTTTAACTTATTATTCATAAATTAATACATATTAAAAGAGAGAGACAAACGCACACACACACACACACACACACACAAACACACATACATACACATATTTGTACAGACGCCAAAAACATCACATTCACACTTAGCAGACGCAAACATTGGCAAGCTTCATATATATGCAGAGAGGCAGTGTAAATTAACGTATACACATGTAAATATGAGAACATCGATATGAATGCGTGCTTCAGCTTTGATTATCTACTTTCTAACTTATCGATGGATCCATCTAGCTTCATGTATCAAAAATGCTTGGTCCATTGATTCACAAATTACGTAATAAGTTGGCTAATTGACTTCTTAATTAATTTATTGATTACAGGTTATATGCACAAGTACGAGTTACCTTTGATGCTCAAATTGTTTTTTAGTTTATCTGATAAAGATATCATTTCCAGTTTCATTTTCACTCATCCGAGCATCATCGCGTACATCTTTATGCGCTTCACATTCATGTCCGTTTTATTTCACTCCAAACACCTCCAGCTGCACTTCATTCCATTCCACTTTCACTCACAGCAAGGTCCACGCAAACCACGACAGCTGACGTGGGAATGAAGAGGTCACGTGAGATATAAAGAAGTTTAGTGGACAACCAACTGGTCGATACGCGCAAACAACAAATTCGTTTTTTTTCTTTTTCTTTTTTTGTGCTTTTACTTTAGATTTATTTTTAAGTTATTTTATTTGCACTGTTGTTATTTTTTTATTCGTTGTTATTGTTATTTTTTACGCAGTTGATTTCAGTATTTTTTTTTCTGTACGTCTGCCCGACGAACGTGAGTTACTCAATGTTCGTTATTACATTTGTTCGAGTTGGAGTTATTTCTGTTTCAGTTTTTTTACACGATGTTTGTCGGTTTGTTGAACAACTCTTCTTGTTTGTTCTTTTGTTTGTGTGTTCGTTTGTGTGTTCGTTTGTTTGTTTGTTTTTGATTGTTGTTTGCGTGCTTTTCGTTTGCTTTTTGTTATTATGATTAGTCTTTTTGCAAAAAAAAAGATTCGTCTGAAAATGAGATCAAATTTTTTTGACCCCTTTTAATGCGTTGAAAAAATGAAACATAAGAAACGTTTCATAATTTTTTTATATGTGTGCTCAACACTTAACTACAGAACAAATATCATACACCGGCGGGTTTTTTTTCACAAAATTTGGACAAAAAATAGCTTGTGTGAATAAGCCAGCGACAAATATATCTGTTGAATGTTGCGGGGTGTTAGAATGAATGAATGAATGAATGAATGAATGAATGAATGAATGAATGAATGAATGAATGAATGAATGAATGAATGAATGAATGAATGAATGAATGAATGAATGAATGAATGAATGAATGAATGAATGAATGAATGAATGAATGAATGAATGAATGAATGAATGAATGAATGAATGAATGAATGAATGAATGAATGAATGAATGAATGAATGAATGAATGAATGAATGAATGAATGAATGAATGAATGAATGATGATGTGTTTGGGCTGTGGGTGGTGATGATTTGTATACTTGTTTGCCAACGACGACTTGTTATATAGTTTTATATATTTTTTTTTCATTTATACATCTATTTATCCTTCCACTCATCCATTTATCTGTCTTTCTATCAATTTATTTTTAAAAACATCATCATCATCATGTCGTTTTTATTTTTAACAAATTTGTCCTCTACGTCAAATTCATCATGTTCATCATCATCGTCGTCGTCATCGTCGTCATCGTTATTTTATGACGTCATCATACCACCATCTCTTCCTTCTTCATCACACTTATTGACGGATGCTGATATGGGCGTGGTTTCCGGCAGTCATCGGCCAATCAGAGTGAGCCTACGTCGTCTCGAGCAACCAATAGCATTGATTTTTCGATTTTCTATCGACCAATGGGATCACAGTTACGTGAAGAGATGTGAGATGGAATGAGGAAGAAGATGAAGATGAGGATGGTGAGGATGAAGATAGGGAGGCTGAGGAAGAGATAAAACATAAATTTCTAACGTCTGCCATCACTCACCACTTTATTTCAATGTCACCAACACACCATTTTCTTAATTATTTATTCATATTCTAACTTCTTTAGTAATAAATTTACTATTTGACAACTTTTAAATTAAAAGTAAATTATTAATAATTATCTTAAGAAAATTAATTTTGATTGAATATTCGCGAAGTATTTAGTTTTATTTTCTTTTAATGAATTTTAAATTAAAAATTTGTGTATAATTCACTCGCGAGACGAAACACAAACATCGGAAACAAAGAGAACATTTTCATTTAAAAAAAATATAACGAATGTTTAATAACACAAGATGGTAAAATCGGTTTTTTGAGATAAAGTTGTCGTGGCTGGTCAGAAGTTATCTGGATTAATAACTTGACTTATCACCTTTCAGAAGAGCTTGCCTGCCTGGATCAGAGTTTTTAAATCTTTTCAGTTGCTAACAACATTGTCGAAATGTGCCGTATCAACTGTACGAGCAATTTACACTAAAATCACTTTTGCAGTGGTATGCCTGACAGGGAATAAGCGTCAGACGTTTTGATTTTACAGCAATTAAAACATTCGGGAGTTGCTGCAAGCATTCGAAATTATTTCAAACCCCATAATGATCAGTCCTCAGTTGTTGTCATCAACGAATCAACATCAATTTCAGCAACATCATCAACCACATCAACAATCAAACAATGACGTCATAAGTGACGACGACGATGACAATTACAGCAAGGAAGACGACAACAACACCAACAAATCGTCACCACTCCCACACCCCACCACCCTCATCAGTCCATCAACATCCGCCAACGCTCACTTCTACCCATCATCTCTCCCCTCCATGTGTCCGACCTCGAATCGTTTCTTCGATTTTGAGCCAGTTGGAAAATTATCTCTGAACGCCAACAACTCAACTCTGGCACAAAACTTTGGTGGCTGCAAGTACGACAAGCTGTTCGGCGCATCTTCACCGCCTCAACCATCATCTGCATCTTACACAAACAACAACCACAGCAGCAGCAACAACAACAACAACAGTGCACATGAGATCATTCCAGGAAACACCAACAACAACAACCTCATGATGCCAGCAACGTACGACTATGCAAACACGCCCTACCACACGTACACAGCCACCCAGCAGTATCTTTACAACCACTTTGTATCTCCTCACTCGTACACTCCGTTCGAACCTACCACCAACCCACTGACACCCAACGACAGTTTAAAGAGCGAGACCAAGCTATCCCAACAGCAGCAGCAACAGCAGCAGTCACAAACCCAACCACAAATCAACGACAACTCAGAAAATAGTTACTACCCTCACTACTCCATAAACACACCCCCTCTTCACCCACCCACACACTTCACCCCGTACGACGCCTACTCCAAATCATTCCTCGCCCCAGGTTTCAACTACCAGCCACCTCAAAGTCACGGGTTCATTGGCACTCCGACTCCGGCATTTAACACCCAAATGTTTGGACAGTTTGCCGGAAGACGTGACTCATCCAGTCATCACTATCATCCACTCTCTCCATCAATGTACGGACAAAATATTTTTGCCAAGAACCAATCAAATGCCTTCAATTTTTCTGACAGAAGTTCATTTCCGGTTGGCTTTTCCCGCTCTTTCCCTCTGCCCCCTCCTCCTCCTCCAACTCATGCTCACCATCCTCTTGCTCACCACAATCATCATCATCACGGCCTCTCTCAACACCACCATCATCATCACCATCACCACGAAATGGAGGAAATAAACACGAGGTGATAATTTTTATCAGTTCAAACAAAATTTTTTTGAATGACACAGGTTGGTGATGTGGTTGGCTGGTTGGTTGGCTGGCTGGCTGGCTGGTTGGTTGGTTGGTTGGTTGGTTGGTGATGTGGTTGGCTGGCTGGTTGGTTGGTTGGTGATGTAGTTGACTGGTTGGTTGGTTGGTCGAGGTTGTTGGTTGGGGCGGGCAGATGTGAAAAAACGAAGTAATTAAATTGTTGAGGCCATCACGTTCAAATTGACAGGTTGTCGATCAGATTCATTCACACTTAACATCGTTTTCATGGATACATTTATTTTAACATATTCTAACATGATACTCTTCATCACTATCGTCATCGCCATCTTCATCACCACCTAATCTTCATCACCACCTCATCTTCATCACCATTCTCACCTTCATCACCATCTTCATCATTGTCATCCTCATCATCACCAGAGATCTAGCCCAGAAGATCAGCAGCGAATTGAAACGCTACAGCATCCCGCAGGCAGTCTTCGCACAGAGGGTCCTCTGCCGCAGTCAGGGAACCCTCAGCGACCTCCTACGCAACCCCAAGCCCTGGAGCAAGTTGAAGTCCGGTAGGGAGACGTTCAGGAGAATGTGGAAGTGGCTACAAGAGCCTGAGTTCCAGAGGATGAGTGCACTTAGACTGGCAGGTCAGTTTTATTTGATCCATTAAAATTTTCCACTGATTCGTTCAACTTCTTTTTAGTTTGTGTTGTAGCTGTATGAGATTGAATAGCCATGTAACTCTTAATATCCATTGTGTTGTTAGTTCTTTGTGGTGTTTTTTTTTCACTGGATGTTTTTTTCTGTCTGATTAATTTCATAGTTCATATTTCTTCATTATTTCAACTTTTAACATCGATAAAACTACAATTGTCTAATAGATTTATGTATATATATATATATGACTGAATTTTAATAAAGTAGATTCCAATTCATTTCTACAAATAAGCTTTGATAGACGTTTCAGCTAGCACGAACATAAAAAACATAGCTGCCATAACAATAACATTTACTGCATATAAAGACAGAAAAAAAATTCTGAATAAAAAAAAACATCATACATGGAAACGTAGAAACCAAAAACGATAAACAAAGCGAGTGACACGCACCAAGACATCCATGCTAACATCCAACGGATAGCACGCACCGTGTTTGCCAGGATTAACAAACAATACTTCAGCTCATCTTCAAACAATATGATGCGCTGTGCTGATGATGTTGTAATGATGTCACGATGTTATGACGTCATGATGTTCTGATGCTATAGTGTTTTGATGTTACGATGTGATATTGTGATGTTTCGGTGATAATGTGATTGATAATGGTGAAAATGTTTCGAAATGCTATTTAGCTGCTTGGATTTATTTGCAATGAATCGTTTAATAATGGCTAGGCCAAACGTTCATCGCTTAAGATTTTATTTTTTATAAATTTTTGTAAAATGTACAACCCTGGTACTGTGTACTGCTATTTTTACATTCAAATAGAAATACGAAGATCTGTTTGATTGGTTGTGTGATGTATTTTTTACAAGTGTCTACAAGTTCCTTGCATACAAGTGCTAAACTAAATACTATTTTAATTTTATTTTTCTTGTTTATTAATTAAATAATTAAAAATAAATTCTATCCTATCATGATTTTATTTTACTTTATTCCACCATAAAACAGATTATAACAATTCAGTATTGGTATCCAACATGCGTTCATGAATTATGAAATGAATTATGAATTAATTGCACCACTTTAAAAAAATGGCCCCACAATGTGAATTATAATAATTATCAAATGTGTTAATTCATAATGCATTTTCTTTAATTCTAGAATGAATTATGAACTGTTCTTTGAACTGCTCAGGCTTTATACACCGTATTGTCTATTGATGTGAAGATGGTTATGGGATGATGGTTGTCGAGATGAATGAATTGGTTGGAGAGGATTTAATTTCAAGTGTGTATTGTTTCTTTTGTGGTAGTAGTAGTAGTAGTAGTAGTAGTGGTAGTAGTAGCAGTATAGTAGTTATAGTAGTAGTAGTTGTTGTAGTAGTAGTAGTTATAGTAGTAGTAGTAGTAGTAGTAGTTGTAGTAATAATTTTAGTAGTAGTAGTAGTAGTAGTTGTAGTAATAATTTTAGTAGTAGTAGTAGTAGTAGTAGTAGTAGTAGTAGTAGTGGCAGTAGTAGTAGTAGTAGTAGTAGTAATAATAGTAGTAGTAGTGATAATTTTGTCTTCTAGGTACATTAATTGCAGAAAAGTTGTGTTTTGAGATTGTAGATAGTTGCTGGTTGGTGGTGTGCGTTCTTTAATGTTTCTGTCAACTGAATCTTGCATGCTGTATGTGTGTGTGTGTGTGTGTGTGTGTGTGTGTGTGTGTGTGGTGTGTATAGTGTATATACGTACATATGTATGTCTCTGTTCGTAAATGTACAAGCTTGTGTATAAACTGTGAACACGCACGCGCGTGTAATATTGATTGAGTTTAAAAATTCTAAAACAACCTCCTAATAGATTTTCTTTTCGTGGGATTCCATTTTACCGCATTTGATCAAAAAAGTTGTAATAATGATAATAAAATATAAAAATATTTTCAACATGCAAGTATTAATAATAATAATAATACCAACAACAATAATAATAATAATATTATTAACGTATGTTTGTTTGTATGTTTGTGTTTGTTTTAGTTTATGTGGAATGTGTACGTGTGTGTATCTGTGTGTTTATCTGTGTATACGTAAGGGTTTTGTGTGTTTGTAAAGTGTGTGTTTCTGTGTTTAACTCTGTGTGTGTGTCTGTGTTTAAGTGTGTGTGTGTGTGTGTGTGTGTGTGTGTTTCTGTCTTTATCTCTGTTTGTATGTGTCTGTGTTTTTGCGTGTTTAACTCTGTGTGTGTGTTGTGTGCGTGCGTGCGTGTGTGTGTGTGTAGAATGTAGCAGATCTTGTTGATAGCCCATTTAACATTCACACATCGGCAGTCATGGCTTCAAAGCGGGTCCATATTAATTGTAATGAGAGGCTCTGTTCAATTTTTATTTCATTCAAGTTTGTTTTTAAGGGAGTTTGATGATGATGATGATGATAAGGTTGATGATGATGATGATGATGATGGCGATGACGACGATGATGATGATGATAAACCAATATTAATGAACATATTGGTACGAGACGATATAAAAACTAAAAAGAAATGTGATG